CCATTCACAACAGGTTGCATGAAGTTGGGCTGCACGCACGGCAACTAGCAACTGGGATGCCATTGACTGCTTAACATAGAGATGCATGCCTGGCATGGTGTCATTGTCATCACAACTGGACCACTGAATTTCATTGGATATTTTTTTTTTTTTTTTTGATGAATCCTGCTTCTGGCTGGAGAAATAATGGGCATGGATGGGTGTAGTGGTATCTTAGGAACACTTTGGGCTGGCCCTTTTTGCTGAACATTGCATCATGCATCATGTTCAATTAAAAATCAATGGGCCTTTGTTCACACAGGGCCCATTGAATTTTTCATGAAGTGTTACAAGTAGTACGTCACTGATATAGACTGATCATTGCTGATTTACATAATTATATTTTTACAAAATAGTCAGATTTTGTGTAAAATTATTAAACAAATTTATAATTGTACTTCTTTGTACTAAATTCTGAAGATAATTTAATTTGTAAGGTGTAAACAAAGATTTATTTTACTCGAATGCCATCTATGAGAGGGATTTCATCAAACTTCCAAAATTATTGGCAATTGAAAAGCCATATAGATGGAAAGCTTTATAAAATGGTTCTGCACATGAGATAGCGTACCTTTAGATATTTCAGTACTTGATTGTTTACAATGGATCCCAAATTTTTTTGACTGTTGAATGAAATTAAAAGTAGAACTAAGTGATATAGTAGCTTTTGAAGTAATTTGAGACCCTTTAAAGAAGTTGAAGTGGATTTTAATGCTGATCACAAATACTGAGTGGAATAACAGCAGAAAATGGAAATGAAAGTACAATTATTAGACAATGTTTACAAACAAGCAAATTATATATTGGTCTTCAAAAAATTTCAGTAAAATTGTCTAAAGATGTTTGAGTGAATGGACAGCAAAACATAATGGTAATGCTGGCCAGAGCAAAAAAATGTAAACCGATTTATGTCTATTTATAGACACACATTTTTGCTTTATTAATTAAATAAGTCATAGATAATTTGCTAATTATTTTACAGTAATAAATTGCAGAAATTTATGCTGTCTGCTTAATAAGGTATTAATAATTTATAATTAATAATACTTATTTCCTCTTTTTATGTCCATGCTTCTGAGCAAACTCTTTCAGCTAGGAAATATGTTAGGCTTCAAGTATTTCTTCAGAGTATATTGATGAGTTAACAAGAAAATAAATAAATGTAACTATTAAAAATAAATTTTTATGATGCTTACATAGGTAAAATTTTACTTGCAAAGATGGTCTTAAAACACTATCATTCCTGGTGTTATTTTTCCCTACTTTTAATAATGATCTCCACTTTTTAAAAATTTACATCTGGAAACTTATGCATGTAATAATTTCATTTTTATAATTACTACAACTAAAAACTGAGAAATATTGACAATATTTTAATTTTGTTTCTACCAATGCCACGTTGATACATGGTTTAGACACAAAAATAATATAAGGTTCCCAAGATGACCATCAGATGTTGGCTGCTTTGTTTTCAAATAATGCCAATAGCAACAAAGCTCAGTTCCATTTAAAATGCTTTAAACAATATGTTGAGTTTAGGAATGTGGGGTTTTCCTGTTCTGTTGGTCATGTAAAAGTGGATATCACTTTAGTACACTCCTATTTTGGCCACTTATATATTATGAGTGTCTCATTTATATTAAAATGTATGCAGTTTTACAGGGAATATTAGGGTCACTACAAAGGAAAGTTTTACTGTATATCATTAATAAAAGTTTAATTATTTCTGTAACTATCTAGCCAGTTTATTAATTATTCTACTAATAAATGTGAACATTTTGTATTTGCATGTGCTTTAATTCTCAAACTGCTAATGAATGGATTGCAATGCCATTCATTTCTAGTGGTAAAAATAATAACTTTAAAAATTTGTTGTGCATAAAACAATAACAAATTTGTGCAAGAATGGGTCTTTAGTGTAATATGGCCATGCCTACACATAAGCAAATTGTTTGAAATCAGTAAATACAATCCTTGCTTGCAAATTGTAGTCTTTAACTTTGTAATTTTTAACTGATACATTTTGTGCTGGAGTTTTTAATTTAAATTTTTACAAGACAGATAAATTATAATTTTATTTTGTTATCTACAATTTATATGTATTATTTTAAAATATAAAAAAAGGTCATTTATTAATTTTGATTACACTTCTGTGTAATTATGGTTAACTTCAATATGAAATTATCAAAGACACTCAGAAAAATGCTTCTGGGACGAGACATTTATATATTATGTGCTGGCTTAGTGCTATCGACATAATAGTAAGAAACTATTAGAGACTAACAAGAAAGATGGAAAAAATATTTTTAATTAAGTGATTTTGTCAATATTTATTTTTTCTCTTAAATTTTTTTATGTTTAAAATTCAAATTATTTAATTACAAAGGCTAATCTGAAAATAAGTTTATAAGTTGATTTAACTACTTAAAGGAACAACAGTAATATATGGTTGTGTTGGGTAAATTTGTAGAAAACTGTTGATATGCTGCATATTGATTACACCCCATTGTGTGTTACACAGAATACAAATTAAATGATCAGTTTAATGCTTGGATTGCAGTAAAAAATATATCTATTTTTTATTATTATATATCTATTTAAAATATATATATAATTGTTTAAATAGAAATAAGATATATATATTATATTATTTTCTATTTTAAACTAAAATATGTAAGGAAGAGTAGTAAAACATAGTAACACAGATTAAGCACAATTGTTATAATCTATTTGTTTTTGAATGCAAATAATATGCTTGTAAAATTAATTTCTTACTAGCAAATGAAAAATATCAGAAGCATACAAGTATAATGATATTTTTAACAAAATCTTACATGATAAAACCATATTCAAAAAAGTTCTTGCTGTTCTTTTTGCTTTTAAACTTATTCTTTATTTTGTTATATTTTGCTGATATATTTTTGCATTAGTTACTAATAGATCTTTGCTACAAACACACTTTTTTTTATATTGACAATAACAGGCAATTCACATACTCAAAAATTGATGCAGCAGGCAACTCCAGATATCAGATACATTATAAAAAATAACATTATTGCAGTAAATATTAGTTCAAACAGTTCAACAAAATATCCATAGAATAAACATTTAAATAATATGAAGAAAAATGCATGAATAAATGTTAGAAACTTTTGTAATTGTAAAGCAGATGATTTTTTAAAGCTTATTATATAATGAATATAATGAATTATTATAATGATTATGAATGTTGGATTTGTTATTTCTATCATGAAATAGAAGTAAAGGAAAGAACGATGCCATTCTAAATTTTCAAAAAGAAAAATACAGTAAGTACTTACTTAACATTATTGAGGAAAGATACAAATACATTTCTAATCATTTATCAATACAATTATTGTGTTGAATGAATTTTCTTTATAAACAGTAAAATCAATTCTATGAGGTGAGAAATAAGTGCCAGAGGTTACAAATATGAACCATTTAGAATATTAACCAAATAATATTTTTTTTATAACATTTAGCATATGGTAAAATTGGTTTCATTATACATTGTTTTGCTTAATGTCACAGTTTCCAAGAACTTATTGATAATGTTAAATGAGGACTTGTATCATACATTGAGTACTGGTATATACAGAAAAATAATGTTGATTTTGCTCTGATATGATCAGAATTTGTTTGTTACATTGTTAAATATTATAACCGGGGTGGCCAAGCTCCTTGATAGTCCGAGCCATTTTTCAAAATTTGAAATTTTTCGCGAGCCGCAATTAAATACGTATTAAAAAGGTATGCAAAAAATTCCAGATTACAAATTATATCCGTAGCAAGAGTGATACAAATTGTTTCCTCCAGAACAAATTCAAAATTGGTCTGGAGTCGGACGATTATGCCACTGTTTATGTTTGTTCGCGCAGTTTTCGATGAGTCATATCATTCTTAACTTGGATGGAAATGAAATTTGTTACAACATTGCACTTAGTCTTTCATATTTGTTGTTAGTAATTTAAAAGACATTTTGAAACACATATGGAACGATGATAATTTTTAAAAATATAATAACACAAAAATGAAAAGGGAACTCGGGTACATTTATTGAGAGCCACAAATAATCCTTCAAAGAGCCGCAGGTTGGCCACCCCTGTATTATAACTTTGTTAGGAATTATTCTATCAGCAATCTAGTCACATATAGTGGACTTATCAGTATTAATACAGTGGTCAAAGTTACATTGTCTTTACATCTACAGCATATTGAACTGTCATGTTGCATAGATCATTCAGTATAACTAAGTTGGTGGAAAAACTATAACTAAATGTGTTTCCTCTTTTGATAAAATAACAATAGAAACAGTTTCTTTAACCATAAATATAACCAATTTCTAGTTATATTTATGGTTAAAGAAAGTTTTCAAGGAGATTCAAGTATATTTATGTTGGAGACTTCAATTGAATGCATCATAATCTATGATGAAAAGATGAGACTGTAATGAAGTTACCTTGGCAACCAATACATTAGAAAGCTTGGCAACCAATACATTAGAAAGTTTTATGTAATAATATATACATATACAATTGAACATTTGATTTTACTCTCATAAATACATCAACAGTGTTGTAATATCTTCTTACATTACCTATAATTAGTTCAGGTATTTATTTAAATAGCTAAAATAATATCAACTAACTTGTAAACCAGACTTATAAATTCTTCATTATTAGAAACTTTAGTAGTCAGAATTAATAATTGCTTTTAATTATAAACATAATTTTAAAAAATTTAAGATATAATTAAAATTTTCTATAGATATTTATAGTGATTTATTTGTTTATTTTCATTAAAAATAATTTTTATAAATTTTAAATATATAATGCAATGAATGTTTTTAAAATTTATAAAAATTATTATATATATATGTATGTGTGTGTGTATATGTAATTTATTTATATATATATGTATGCATTACTTTATGTTTTTAGTTGGTGTAGAATTTAGTGTCAAAAGAAAAAAGAAACATCAAATATATAAAGGTCCAAGGAAGAGTACGTAAAACTTTCATATTTATTTATGAAATAACTTAATTTTTATGTATTAATAATGAAAAACAATTCATATTCCAATTTAACTAATTAACTCCAGATGAGCTATTCAGGCTATTTTGGGCTACATTAATGATTAGTTGCTAATTAATTTGACTAGAAGTGGGTGAATATGCCACTATCCATTTGGAAATCTGGGTAGTGTAATTAGCAATGCATCTGCTTGGTAAGCAGGAAGTTGCAGGTTCAAGTCCCGTTGCAGCTCAATTCTTTTCTTCCAGAAATTTTTAAATTAATATGCAATGGTAGCATATTTACCTACCTCTAGGCAAATTAATTAGTATCTAATCATAAACATACCCAAAAATAGCCCAATAATTCAGCAGATCATTTGGAGTTAATTAATAATGAACTTAATTAAACTAGTTCTATACTAATTTAATAATTCTGTTGTTTTATGTAATAATATATACATATACAATTGAACCAGTCTATCTTGAATCTCACAAGAACAAGAAAAAATTTGAGGTAGACAGGTTTGAGACATAGAAGTTCTTACACAGTAAACAGTAATAGGTTTAATTGGATGTTTAGTGTTTTATTAATACAACAGTAAGTACAGTACATACCTGTATTAGGTATAAATAAAACATTGTTGACATACCTTAACAGAAATAGTTTTTAATAGTTTCTGATGCCTGGCTTTCTTCAACCAATGAGACATAAGCCAAATTGTATGTTATCAACATTTACAATTTTTTAAAACAAAATATCATAACAGATATTGCCACAAACAGTTTTATTTATTATGATAAATAATATAAAAGTTATTTTTTAAATAAAACCTTATAACAGCAGGAAACGTTATGCAACTCGTTATTGGATGTTTTATGTCATCGTTCAAATTCATTTCGAAGTATCATTCTAAATTATAAATATTTTTATATATATTTTCAGAAAAGAAAGGAAGATTAGGATTTTATAAAAAGGGAATGGTGCGCACTAAGGTTAATCCATCTGCTCAAGAAAATATAAATACTGGGCCTATTAAACAAGAAAGTGATGATACAGGCAAGTTTTTTTTATTTTACATACAACACTTTTAATTATATTTTGAAAACTTTATGAAACATTGAAGTAAAAAATCAAATAACTAGAACTGCTGGAATTTTTAATTTCACTATTTTTTTAATTTCCTTAACCTTATATAGTTCTCTGCTTTCCCACTTAAATCATAGTATGTTTGGCTTTATAATTCATTTTCAAGGGTATTAACATCATTCAACAGAGAGTTTAAGTGGAATTTATCATACCAATTTTTTAAAATATGCGGAGAACTGTACCTGTTCTAAGCTGATTTCAAATTAATTCAAAAAGAGCTTAAAAGTTAAATTAAAAATAAATTTTTTCCATATTAGACATGTAATTATTCTGAATAAAATACACTGTCTTTTAGCATTATTATATTTAATAAATTAACAGAAAATAAATACTTTCTGTAGTGTATCATTATCTGTATGAGTGAGTGTATGTTTTAAAAAATGGTTTTATCTTTATTAAAACTGGAAGTGAAAATATTAACATTCTCACAGATTAATAATGATAGAACCAAATCCAGATCTCTTACAAAGATCCCCTGCAAAGAGAGGAAGACCTCCTTTGAATAAATCAAAACAAGAGAAAGGTACCAAAGACCAAGACCTTGAATTAATGTTTAAATCTCAGGAAGGAATGCAGAAAGAATAGAAAAGGCAACTTATCTGAAAGTTCTGCCATGGTGAAAACAGACAACAAAATCATTATGAATCTTATTAGTGACCCAGGAAAAGAAAATAATGAAATAAATATAAATGATGAAATTAATAGGCAAAGCAATCATCTGGAAAACAGTGGTATAAAATTGATAAAATATAAATCAATCATATTATCATCTAATTTCTTTGATTGGTGTTTTAAGACAAGAATTAATGGAAATGCATAAGGATAATAAAGAAATTAATTTAACCCTTGCAGATATCATATCTTAGAATAGAAAAAGATTTAAGGTCAGGAGAATTTGAGAAAACAAAGACTTATTGAATGAGATGAGAGTTAACTATGTTTGGTTATTAAACTTGTTAACTAATTAAACTAAGATCCTACTGTTAGCACTGAATAATCAAAGATTTAAGAAAGAATAATACAATTTAAAATGCTATAGATTTAAAAACTAAAGCAGAAAAGTTTAGATAAATTTTGAAAAATTAAATGATGGAAGTAGGGAGAGGTTTCTGCAATTAAAAAGAGAATACAATAATATTGATATAATAAAGACAAAGAAGAAAACAGAATTTAATGTTGAATTTTAAATTGGTTAACTGTAGAAGCACCAAGGAATTTTCATCATATTAGATACTTTTAGTATGAAAAATAATTATAATGAACAGACTTTCATTCCATTTAAAACTTGGGAAATCTATTTATTTGCTGAGCACTTTTAATGCTAATGTTATTTTTTTCTGAATGAAGATGATGAAGAGCCTAAAATTAGTGATTTAAATTGCTATAATCTTGTAGAGACCCAGATATCATTGGATTTTGCATTTTCAACAAATGATTTACAAATTATAGCATGAGTGAAAACAGATTCTGCACTTTGAATGGATAATATACCTTTTATCTTTGAAGTTACTAAATTTTTCCATATTGGTGCCAATGGCAATTTGCTATCAGAGAATTTGAAATGGATATACCAAAAAGTTGGGCAGAGACTTTTCTTAGTATAATGTATAAAAAAGGAAATAGAGAAGAACCATCTTATTGTAGGCATACAATACTGCTATTGGTGTTTAGGAAAATTTTTATTACAGTATTAACGAGGTACTTTATTGAATTTTGTCAAGAAAATAAATTTATTTTGAATAGTCAAATTGCTTTTAAGAAGGATCAAAAAACAGAATTTGTTTTATTTTTATTTTGATAAATCATAAAACATTGAGTTAGGCATAAATGTCAAAAACTATGTTTTATTTACAGATTTGAAAAAAGGCTTAGACTATATTTTGATTGACAAACTCTGTAATAAATTAACCAAACAGAAATTTAATCTTAAATTTGTTTAAAACATAAATAGCCTATTCTGCAATTAAAATAATAGGTAAATGCTACTTTGGATAATTAGAGCTTCTACTTTGCTTCAAATTTATTATTTGTAAAAGTGATTTAATTTTCACATACATTAATATATATTAGAAACTCCCTCACCGAGCATGATGGACTACTTTCTATGAGAAAGTAGAGATTGAATAATTGAGAAGAGTGCAGATATTTTAAGAAATTCAAGAAGAGTAGCTAATGTTCCTACAAATTAAGTAGCCTATATTGTCCGTTGAAGCATAGTTAATGCTCAGTTAGTTAATGTGCATCATCAATTTCAAACTTTTATTAAGTCAATCAACTTTTTCAAAATCAAAGTTACCTATAAATTAATTCAAATGTGTTTGTTTAAAGTTCACTTTAAAGAGGAAAATATTTAATATTTAAAACTATAATTAATTTAATATTCTGAATTAAACAAATTTAAAACATGTTATTAATTGGAATGTGCTTAGCATCTACTTTTTTCTTTTCTTTCTTTTTCAAAATAATGTTCTCTGTTTTACATTTAGTTTTTTACTATTTAAATATGATTCAGTTTATCTTATCTTAGATAAATGTTTAAATAAATTTAATATTAAATCTTCAAAGAAATTATAATTTGTTCTATGAAATAAAATTATTAACATATTATTTTTAATGACAGTTTTCTTTTTATTTAATTTAGTTTCTTCTACATCAGATATTCCAGTAACATGTTCATCTCCATCTGTTGGAGAAAAATGTGGTTTTCAATCAGTTGAAAATAATGGCAATAAGTAAGTTTAAAACTTTTTACTAATTACTAATAATAATAATTTTGGAGAAACAAAAATTTTGCATGACTCCGAATAATAAGCAGATTTTAAAAATATATCTATTTTGTATTATGATGTTAAAATAAAATTATTTTTAGAAGTAATGATTATTTATTTTGCTTTTTAAAAAATTATCCAGTTTTATATTTTGGGATAAAAATAATTAACTTTTTCCTACATATATTTAATCATAAAATATTCATTATAAATTGTATTTTTTATTCTTAAATTTTATTCTACTAATTAATATTTTTATTTATGCAATATTTCATACAGTATAAAATTATAATGCATCTAAATACAGTAGATTCTCATTAGTGTCAATTCCTGTGGAATCACCCATAAAGGTTGACATTAACCAATATAATCTTTATGTATATTATGAAGTTTTCACTTGAAATGAAGTTATTTTGCATATATATGATAATATGAAGCTGTATATTTTATTGTAAGACTGCAACTTCTATTTCAAATAAATTTTTGTGAATTTTACACTTTGCAGTCAATTGAGTAATCAAAAAAGCATTAGAGTCTTTCATTATGTTTTGTTTCATATCCAAAAGAATATTGGCACAGATGTTTCTCTGAATGAGGTAATTGGGTCATTGTCAGAGCTATAGACCATGCCAATAGGAGTAAAAAAGTCAAAGGAACCAATAGTCTATTTGTAAGATATAGTCCCCCCAAAATTAGTCTGTGTAGAATTTTGAAGGCCTTCAAAACAGGGTAAAATTTAAAAGTAAAAAAAATCCAGAACTATTTATTAAAACAATACTAAATCACAATTTTCCACTTTCCTAGAGACAGCTAAAAGCTCAAAACACAAGAGATCCATTACACCAACTACTACTGGCATGCCAAGACATCAAAATCTGATTATACTAATTGATAGTTGACACTAAACAGGGTTGTTACTAACTAGAGTCCACTGTATTTAAAAATTAAGAAAATCTATTTTTGTAATAGTTTTATATCAGCCAATTATAACTTATATTAGTGTGTTTCTGAATCATCCAATAGATATATTATGTTTAGTGTAATAATAATTTTGAGAATATTACAAAATAAATATTCAGGTTTAAAAAGCTTATTGTTTTCTTTTTTTTCTTGCTATTATACATTAATTCTAATTATTATCTTTAAAATAATGTTAACTTGATAACAAATACTAAAATTTTACATTTATAATACATTGTTATAAGAAATACATTTATATTATACTATATATAAATTAAAAATAAAATTAAGAACTTGTGTTTGGTTTTAATTATTTTTAAAAATCAAAAACAAGTTCTAATTCTTCTTTGAATTAATGCATTTTTTCCATTAAAATATTAAAAGAAAAATGAATGAAAAACTGATTGCTAATTTTCTATTTTCTTCAGCATATATTTACAATTCTTCTTGATTAATAAATGTGTTTAAGTATTAGTTTTTAATTACAGAATTTAAGTTAATTCAAAACTAATTATTAATTGTGGATTTATTAAAATTGAATTATCTGCAGAATTTCTTATAACAAAAACTTTGTGGTTAGGAATAGATTATATTAATTAATTAAATAACTAGAATTTGATTGATCCAATACATTTAATGATATGTGTTCAAACAGTTTAACTAAAATATCAACATTTATATCTTAACAATTGCATTCTAATAATAAACAATGCTTTTTGCCCACAACTATAAATTAGACAGAATTAGATAACCTAATAAATAGGGTATAACAATTTGCAGGGTGATAAGCCCTGCAAATTGTTATACCCTATTTATTAGGTTATCTAATTCTGTCTAATTGCATTCTAATTTACAAATATTATTTTTATATTTATTATTTAGATTGATTATCAGATTGTTTCTACTACTGTTTCTGAAAATTGTATATTATCTTTAATGAATAGATAAAATAGTCTGATTTAAGTTACACAAGATGATTCAGAATGATTTGATTGTAGAATCCCAAAAAATGTAGGATAAATTCTGATTTAACTCATATTTGAGGAAATATTACAAATCATTTCTAGACATTTTCTGTGCTTTTTATGAAGTAGCTGAACTTTATACTATCAAAATGGCATTTTTGAATGATTGAAATAATAATTATAGTATTATAGTATACATGTTGTTTTTATCTATAAAAAAAGCCAAACAAAAAGTAATTAATTGCATTATAAAAAGAAATAATGATTTTACGAAATTCATTTATCAGTTTCTATAATGTTATTGCTTAGATTATTTATTTATTTTTTGAGAAATATATCTAAGTTACACAAAAATGATCTAATTTATATTAAAAAAAATTCAGCAAAAACTATTTTTTTTCTATCACAATTTATAATAATTTCAATATTATAAAAAATTATAATATTGAAATTATTGTGTTTAAGTGTATTTATATATGTTAGTATTAGTACTTTTCCCCCATAAAACAAACTTCATAAAAATTAATACATATTAAATGTAATGCATATTAATATTTTTCTCATAAAGACTTTACAGAAAATTGTTCACGTATCAATAAGAATTATAAAATTTAAATTTTTATATAAATTTGTGTATTAATGAATAAAATAATTACATTTTAATATATTTTGATGTATTTTAGTTTATAATTTACAGGATAATCTTGAAATTTAGCATTTTTTTAAAAATTTTAAATGATTATATCAAACAACGAGCATTCAATAAAATTTGTATTGATGATAAATGAAATAAAATTGCTTTTTCCTAACATACTGCAATTTTTGAAATTATTAATTTAAATTGTTTATGTTCATGCCTGTTAATATTTTGCATATTGTTGCATGGTAAATAAAATTAATGTGACTATGTTTTATCAGTGATATAATGCTGTGTTTTATTTGTTGAATGTGTGTTTTGTTATAAAGAATCAATGTGTATTGGTATGTTTATTTTTCAGTATTAAAATATATATATATATAAGTATAAAGTGATAAATTAATTATGAATATATAAATTATTTGTATTTGATGATATATATTTGTAAATGGGATAGTGAGGTTGAAATTTTTTGTATTTTTTTATTTTTAAAATTGACATTATTGTGTAATGTTCAAATGATGCAAATTTTTGCAGTATTTTTTTTTATTTTGAAAAATATAGTTGTTAGAAAGAAAATGAAAATTTGTTAATTACAGATAATTTTATAATAATCTTAATGTTTGTTATAATTACAAATTGTTCATTTGTTTAGAAAGTAAGAAATGTTTTTTATAAATGTGCTTGTAGCATATATTTAATGAGAAAGTATGATATACTAAATTTAATAATTTATTATGTTGGTATATGTAAGAATATATATATATATAGATAATCCTCAGTATATGTGGTTTCAGTTAATGTAGGGTCCATATTCTGGTCATTGTCTCTTGTCTTTGTGAGACAGTGTTTACATCATAAACTGATGGCTGATTGGCTAAACATTTTTTTGTTTTAAGAGGTCATCACTTCACCCCAAATGTGATTCTGAATGACTTCTTTTCTCAAAGATTCTCTCATCATCAGAGACAGATAGCTGTCTTTTTTCTGTAACATCAATTTTATCATATCAAATATAGATGACTGGATTCTCCTCATGCTCTGCATTAATATTAGAGAACATTCTTTATCTTGAAACACTGTTTCCTAAGATAAAGATAACACTTTTGATCCTTTTTTTAAAGTGCCTACTTTACATTTTACTCAGGAATTCCACTGACTCAATGTTTTTATTAATGATTCGACATCAGTTATTGAGTCATAGATATGCTGTTAATCCTCTGTTACTTCCAGCCATCCATCTCAAAGTATTTTTGAAATATTCACATCTAATTTCCCCTGATCTAATTCAGAAAATAATTAATTATTTTAACTCAGTTATTAAAATCTCCATGTTTTGAGAAGACAAAATTACTCAAAACATTTTAACATTAGAATCTGTAAAACTAAAACAAAATAAAAACAAGCTTCTGTTAAAACCACATACTTTATTAGAACTCTGTACTTCCTTCAACATGTGCACTATAATTTTGTACTCTGCCTTCTTGAAAATTTTACAATTTTGTTGGTTGAAATTTTGTACTGTGTTGAATGCTCAGATAATCCAAATGTGTATAATCAACCTAATAGAATTCTGATGTAAACAGCAAAGATGAGATGTTGCAAGTTACTGGAATTGCATTTGTCTTTGGAAGACAAGTTTTTTGTCCCTCAAGTTGTTATCATTTGTCTCTAAAAGAAGAGACAAGAAATAAATGACTAGAATATGGCTCCAGGTCTTTTTCATGAGAAGTTCAACATTACCAGCTCAACAGTGCTGAACAAATTTCTTTTCCTCATTCCTGCTTCATTCATTCCTGCTTCACTCTTTCCTGCTTCACTCTTTCCTGCTTCATTCATTCCTGCTCACTCGCAACATCTCATCTTTGCTGTTAGATAGTAATATAAAGTGAACCTAGTTTTCTTCTAAAATTTAATAACATCAGTTCTGATAAGAAATGCAAAGTGATAAAACTGGACATTATTGAACAATTCAACAATAATGAAAACAAAGCCAGTATTGGAAGGGTTCTAGACTTCAATAAATTGACTGTGTGACTTACATTGAAATCAAAGGAATAAAAGAAGCAACGTGAGGTGGCATCAACTTGTTTTAGTATACAATTCAATAGAAACAGAGGTCTGGTTTTGGTAGAAATGAAAAATTTCCTATTATGTGACTTGAAGATTGAAATCAGAATGAACTTTGATCAACACAAACAATTAAATGATTAAAGTATGCAGCCTACTTTCTCCCTCAAAGCAAAATTCAAGGACGATATAACATCTTTAGCTGGCAAAGAGTGGTTCCAGAAATTTTAGGCCTAAGTAGGGATGTAAATGTGGAAAGTAAATTAAAATTGATGTGAAAAGTTGTAAGTGTGGACAATAAATCACAACTGCAGTCTTAAAAAGAATAAGAA